CTCTAAGTGGCTGCTATCCACATAATAAATCCTACCTTCGCTATCTCCATCCTTTCAAAGACTCCCCATAGATATGTTATTCTGTATGGATTGCTATGCTATGCTACAACACACTTAGGAAACTGTGAATATATATAAATATATATATATATATGGCCCTTTGCGTCTTACCACAAAAATAATGGATAAAGAAATATGCATTTAACTGGTGCACTGAAACTAAATATTTCATGATTTTTGGCCTCAGGTTTTAGATATGCTAATCATAGATGTTGCTATGCAGAATTATTATTATTATTATTTGAACCAGTTAACACAAAGTGATGAATATTGTGATGTTAAGATATTTAAGATAAAACTTTTCGTGAGGAAACAGGCATAAAATGGACTCACACAAAAAGAGACTTGAGGATCTGGATTTCGCCGATGATATATGTCTGATTTCCCACAAGCCGGAAGATGTGCAAGTGAAAAGCAACAAGCTGGCACAAGAAGCATCCAGAGTAGATAGGACTTCAAGTGAACATAGAGAAAACAGAGGTGATGAAGATTCCTGGCCAACACCAACAGCAACAACAACAGACAACAATCAGCCAGCATAAATGGGAGGAATCTGAAAGAAACAACCTCCTTTACCTACCGACCTGGGAAGCATCGTTTCAACTACAGGCGGACGGAACTGATGAGGATATCAGAGCAAGGTTTGGGGAAGCAAGACAAGCTTTCATTGCTCTTAAGTCTGTGTGGAGGTCAACAGCACTCAGAATCAAAAATAAGATCCGGATTTTCAACTCCAATGTGAAATCAGTGCTACTTACTCCACGGATCAGAGACTTGGCCAGAGCGTCATAAAGAGCGTCTCAAACAAACTACTGACTTTCATCAACAGTTGTCTTCGCTCAATACTCAAGATCAGATGGCTGGCCAGGAAAGATCACCAAAAGGGATCTCTAGCAATGAGCGAACCAACCAGGAACCGATTGTGAAACAAATAGGCAGGAAGAAATGGAGATGGATTGGCTGGCCATACACTCTGAGGAAACCATCAAGTGACATCACTAGACAAGCCATCGCTCGAGTGGAACCCGAATGGGAAGCAGCGAGGTGGTCGTCATTGTGAGGGTGACTTGGAAGAGATCATGTGAAGAGGAGATGGGAGCATGTGGGCAGATATGGAGCCAGATGAAAACTATAGCAGAGAACCGAAGGCAATGTAGACGTGCAGCTCTATGTTCCTCAAGGAATTAAAGGATGTAATAATAATAATTTCGTGGTACATATTACTGATTTGTTCATATAAGTAGTAGTTGGATACCGTCCACGCCAACCAGTTGTGCTTATTGTCCATACTGGGAAGGCGTTTCACTCGTCTGCAATTAAGTTCATCAACTTAGCTCAGAGAAGCAAATCCTTGTTAGCTTTCTTGATTCCCAGTATATATGGTATCAAGCATATCATATATGCATAGGGCTCTGGAGAATTTCAGTTTCCGAAATAAAATTGTGATGAAATTTCAACTCCTCGAGTTATGCGCAGTCACAAAGTGCCCCCAACGACTGGGAAAATCCAGCACTATTTCAGATAAAGCCTACACTACTATTTAAAAATAATAACATGAAAAATCGAAATGAGTTGAACAATGCCGGCAGGCAGCTAGATAGATCACACGAATATCCAGTACAAAATGAGTACTGTAAATGTTTGCAAAGAAAAGCTATTTCCACTGGACAATATACTAACTTCCTCAGCTTCATACCTCTACAATAAAAATGTAGTCTGGTTATATGTCTGGTCCACCGGGTTGACTAGAGTTATCCGTTCACTGAGACACTGAACGAAAAACTCCGTAATATTCGTGATCTACTAACTGTCTGTCTGTCTGCTTTCGACATAGAACTTTGCACATATGTGCGGAAGTTCAAGTCGCCACACTCCGTGTAGCACGCGAAGCAAGAGAAGAAAGTACAAGAAAAGCATAATAGAAACAGTGAGCAGAGGGGTGAGACAAAGAAGTAATAAAGAAAAACAAAACAGTTTCATTTGAGATCATAAGTCAGAGGGAGTGGATGCATCTGCGCCACTGAGAACGGTTTTGAGCCATGTCACCAATTGTTTCCAACCATTGATTTTTACCGTCTCGAGGACCCCAGCCTGGAAGTCTACACCTTCCTACGCGGCTTAGACCAACTGTTGTGGATTTCATTGACTGGTGCCAAGTTTTTGTTTGACCGCCGCTAGCTTTTTTCCAGCCTGACCCTATATCCGCTAACATTACTCGTCGAGGGAGGCGATGACTTGGCATACGTAACACATGTGCTAACCATCTCAGTCTTTGTAACTTCACGACTTCGTCGATTGATTTCCCCTGTTTACCTAGCACTCGACGTCTAACTTCAATGTTGCTCACCTTATTATGCCACTTTACACGGGAAATAGAGCGCAGGCACCTATGATCAAAGACAGCTAGTCTTTTCATGTCTTCCACTCTCAGTGGCTAGGTCTCACAACCATAAAGGAGGACAGAGCGGACTGATGAGCAGTACACCCGCCCTTTGGTCGATAGTCGAACATCTCGTCTACGCCAGAGTCGGCGTAAACTGGTAAATGCGAAACGAGCCCCCTGTATTCGTGCTGAGATTTCGTCAGAGATCAACCCGTTGGCGTTGGCTGATGGTACTTCCCAAATAAGTGAAGCGGTCAACGTGCTCTACCACTTCACTTCCTATTTTTAAACTAGGCGTCGATGTAGTCCAGTCCTGTAACATCATCTTGCATTTGGCGGGAGCGAATCGCATGCCAAACATTCGTAGATTACAGCTCAAGGTGTTTAGAAGACTCTGCATTTCGTCAGCGTTTTCGCCTAGAAGGACTATATCGTCTGCATATTCCAAGTCGACGAGATTATTCCCTGGTAACAAGTCAATCCCTGAGTCGCTGAAGTCACCTAGGGTTAAGTCCATTAACACATCTATGATGAAGTTGAATAGAAAAGGGGATAATGGGCATCCTTGACGGACACCACTAGTCGTCACCAGTTCAGACGATAGCTCGCCGTAAGCCCTCACCTGGCTGTATGAGTACGAGTAGAGTGCCTTAATCAGTGCAATGTATTTTCTCGTCATTCCCTTTACAGCCAGGCATTTCCAGAGGACTTCTCGATCGACAGAGTGGAATGCTGCCTTTAGGTCAAGAAATACAATGACTGTTGGACGCCGGTAGGAATGCCTATGTTCTAGAGTCTGTCGGAGGGTGAAGATATGAACAATACACCCTCTTCCTGGTATAAAGCCTGCCTGGCTCTCTCGTGTTTGAGCCTCCCGAGCACCACTCAGTCTACGCATGATTATTGAGCCTAACACTTTAGATACTATATTAGTCAAGCTAATCCCTCTGTGATTAACACAGGAAGACTTGTCTCCCTTCTTGTATGTCGGGATAATCAGTGACTTACACCAACCCGATGGGACTTCTTCTGATTCCCAGACGCTGCCTAGTACCTCAGTTAATGCAGACAGTAAGCTGTCTCCACCGTACTTAAATACCTCTGGAGTCATTCCATCAGGGATCTACTAACTAGAAACGTGAATCAGACTAAATTCCTTAACAAACACATGAAGTCAGCAAGTGGAAAGTCGAAGTTGCCAAATGTCTCCAAAAAATCAATATTACCAAGGTTACAATTCACGGGTGATGTCAATAGTGAGATCTTATCACGACGTCTGAGAAGGACCTTCAAAAGGACTTTCAACTCAACTAATCTGCGTATATTCACTAGCTGACCATTACTTAGTTCAAGAAATAGAGACAGACTGTCCTGTTTCGCCTCTTCCACGTGTATTTACCAGTTTAACTGCCCTTGAGATGGAGCTAGTTACATAGGGCTTACGATCAGGCAGGTTTATCGTCGAATTTCTGAACACCTCCCATCTTCGCTTGGCAAAGGTCCAAATAAAGCCATACACAGTTCAATACTAGTTCATCTCATCAATACTAGCTGGACATCAGGTCGACTCTAACAAAGCTTTTAAATTTATTTATCGTATATCACCCAACCTCTCGTTGTATGGTCTACGAGTACGACTTTCACATACAGCAGAGGCAATCGGAATCCATCTGAACAAGCCAAATCTGTGCGTCAGTTCAAAAGGAATTTGTACAGCGCCTTTCTCTAACACGACCACGCACTACATAATACGTATTAAGTTTTTAGAAACGATGTTTTCCCCTCCACGCTTGTAACTTTTGTATCTTTTGACTTAGTTAATTTTTACAATTTCTACATTTCTAGCTAATTCTACTAACTTGTTTGTATTTTACGTGATTCTTCTGAGTCATCCTATTCTTCTTAGTCATTATCCCTGTTTTACAGATTTCTTGATTATGTGATCACTTATTGCTAATGCCTAAGAATCAACTTATATCTTGAATTCCGTAATTAATCAATTTTCACTCATCCTTTAAAATTTGAAAATGTTTTGCTTGTCAGTAGTAGAATCTCATAGTTCAGCTTGTCAAGTGCATGACTATTTATAAAGATAGAAATCCTGTTAAATGCGTTTTTGAACTATGTTGCTGAAATTTTACTGATTATTCCATTCTTTATACGAAAATACTGTATGTCGGTGGCTCAATCGTGTAATACTCGCCAACCTCCTACATGGACCTGGGCTCCATTACATTCCCAGCTGGTGACGCACCTCGCTTAACCGATAGTAAGACTGGTGAAAAGGGAAGGGAAATTTGGCCATGAGGCTTGCAACCCCATTCAGTAAGTGTAAGGGAATAACTCCGTTACTACTAAAACTTCAAGGCTTAAGCTTGAATCCCCCCTCACCCCTCCTATGTTCCACGCAGAAAGCTAATGAATACAAAAATAAAATATACAAGAATATGAAAGAAGTGTAGGCTTAATCTCATATATCATTTAGTTTTATAATACCGCTTAAACCGCTGTTTCATTTATTTTTTATGTTTGTTTCAACACCTCAAACCCATAATAGATCGTTTAAACCGCAGTAATTCGGGTAATTGGCGTCATCGGACTACGCATTTATTGCAAACTGCTGAAGCTCATATTAAACTTTTATCAAATTTACTCGATGACTTGAAACACTATTCACCGGATACATCTGAATTCTCAGAAGGTAAGTTATTTTAAAAATCAATGTTCTCTAATATGTCATAAATTCTATTTAACTTGTTATCGGATTATTATTAGTATAATTCGCATTTCTATTGGTTAGATGATACTTAGACTTTTGTTTTTATGTGTCATATACTACTTATTGAAGAGGCATGTTGACAATCATTCTTTTAAATGATAATAGCTTTATTCCAAAACAGTACTTGCGATACAGAATGGAATTCTCAGCATTTTACTACAGTGTTGCATCCAGTTAGTAAATTGACAATAAAATAAAATTCCACATAGATTAAGGGTAATCTCAGTTCATTATGACAACAACATATTAGCATGTCGATAGCAAAGCCAAAATTAAACAGTGTCTGAAGGTGCTAGAAAAGTAGATGCTAGCATATTTACTGGTGTAAGCGGAAGGAGCGAACAAAGCTGCACATAACAGAAAAAGAGAGAGAGAGAAAAGGAAAAGAAAGGAAGAAAACGTTGTACCTATAAATGATATGAGTTGGAAAGACGACATCCAGTTGTTCTACTGACTATTTAATAAGTTATAGGTGGCACGCCTAATGCTTTCTTTATCCCACAGAACACGAGCTAAGTAGGGTATGGATGAGTTTTTGTACTTTCTAGTGCGAGCATATAGTTTTCTATATAGGCTTCTGCTCCTGCCTGATGAGATACAAGGGGAGAGTTGTGAATGAAGAGGGTGTTGTGAGTTAGATAAAATGGATTTTGCCCATTTTTCACATGAATCCAAATGCCTGTCAACCAGAATATTAACAAGCTGGTTAAGTGGCACCCTGTGGCTTACCCTGCTGACAACCTTCAACATCCTGCGTAATAAGGTATAGTCTTTCTTCAGTAGCCAGCCCAGGAAAAACTAAGGTTGAACAATAGAGAATAATAGACAGAATGCAAGAGTTAACGAATTGTAGGAGTAAGGGCTGGGCTGGGTTATACCAGAATATCTTAACTTCTTGATATACAAGGTGAGACGAAATATTTTCTTAGAAATCGTCAAGATATGAGACGACCAGGAAAGATCAGCAGATAGAATGAGGCCTAGGTATTTAATTTCTGACTTGGTTCCTATTTCAGTGCCATCTATGTTGCACACCTCGTGAGTGTTAACCAGTTTGTTTAGGTCGGATTTATGCCTAAAGCTGAAATTAACTGTTTGGCATTTGGAGGGGTTTAAGATAAGACCGTTTTCCTTGGACCACTGGCTGATTTCTGATAAAAAGCCATTTAGTTTAGAGCAGTCACTTTGACATTTGACAGGTAAAGATACAGTCAGGTCGTCAGCATATCAGACAAAATTAATGTCATTTGAAGATTGTAAGTCATGTAGAAAGAAAGAAAAGAGAAGTGGGGAAAGTCCAGCACCTTGGAGGACACCAGCTTCAGTGAGCACAACAGAGAAGGATTTACCTTTGTATGCAGTGTACTGCATTCTGTTTGAGAAGTAGGAATGCAACCAGTTAATGACCCAGGACTCAGTTTTTGTCATAGAGAGCTTATTTAGCAAGAGACATCTAGGTACAGAGTCGAAAGCAGAAGTGAAGTTGAGAAACGTGCAACGGACGTATTTGGCACCTTTATCTAATGATGAGACGATACCGTTGTGTAAGACGACTGCAGCGTCTAAAATACTCCTACCCTGTCTATAGGTTAATTGTTTGGGGTCTTCGAAGCTTTTAAGGGAGGGTTCGAGTTTAAGAAGTACTAGTTTTTCCATGAGCTTTAGAAACGGTGAAGTGATGGCAATGGGTCTGAACTTTACGTTCTTGCTATTTCCAGGTTTTGGGACAGGGACTATTTTAATGTCTTTCCATGAAACAGGTACAACGTTTTTGGAGAAAGAAGCATTGAGGATGTTAGTTAGTGGAGAACACAAAGCATCTGCACATTGTTTTAGAACATATGCAAGTATACCATCAGGGCCAAGGCTATATGAGGGCTTAACCGTTTTAAGACATTTTAAAACATCGAGAATGTTAAAGCCCTGGAAGTTATCAGCTACATGACTAGTAACGTTAGAAGTGGTTATAGTAGAAGGAGAGCGTATAAAAGACAGATTAAGAGCATTAACAACATAAGTGGGAAAAACATTACATCGTTTACTATTGCCAGTAATTTCATTGAAAAGTTTCCACATGCTGATAGGAAATTTGCATGATAAAAGTGTTTGGTTATAGATAGCATTAAGGTTTTTGATTTTAGATTTGATTTGAGCATTAATCTTTTTAAGTCCTAACTTATCTTTGGATTTATATAAAGTTTCTTTTTGCCTGCGAAGTTGTTTGAGATGAGGAGACGAGAAGCGGTCGAGGCGTTTGAATAGTGTTTGTTTGGAACAGCATATGTCAAGGCAGAAGTTGAAATAATCCGTTATATTGGTGATTGAGTCATCTAATGTACTTTCATAGAATAAATCCCAGTTAGTATTTTTAACATGCATCTTAGATTGAGTAGGTTGTCAGGTTGTTGTGTAGCATCTTTGTTGTGCTTTCATAGACATATTTAAATAAACATACCAATAGTTCATGTAGTATCTTGATGATTTTGTGGTCGACTATATGGTCTGAGGGTTCGAATCCTGACCGATGACTCACTCTTAAACCTTGTCTACCTAATAGTAAGCTCAGTAAAGAAGGGAATTTGAACATTAGGCTAACAATCCCACTGTAAAATAAAAAAATGAATCACACCACTGATACTGAAACTTCAATATTCCAAAAACGTGAAGTCCTATGTTGCACTTGGAACCCAGAGGAATAGAATTTAAAATAGTTCATAATATGCTTTCCTGACATTACTCTAACGTCAATCACATTGCATACTGTGATCTAAATACTATCACTATGGAGAAGTAAACCATTGTAAAATGTCACTTTATGCTGTGTATTCTGTTAGTATTCATGACAACCGGTCTCTTCACATCTGTCCTCCGCTTTCAGCAACCAAACCTAGCCTTCCTTTTTTTTCTACCGAACTCACCATTGGCTAAGCTAAACTTAGGAGTGCTTCAGCTGGAGATTTAATCCTGCCAGCCAGCGATCGTGGCTGGCCAGTATTATACAACTGAACCGGTGACGCATATGCACTACGTGCGTAAGCCACACTTTATGCGTATGACAGCCGACGATACTACCCAGCCGGCTGGGTGTGAACTAGGTACAGCAGGACTTAGTAGTTTCAGTGGCGGTAGTGTTTATGCTGAACCTTCCGTCTTCAGTGAGTTTGCTACTGGCTGAGAGAGATTTAGAAGTCAATTGGCCCGGATCACGCTCAGTGTGGTTGTCAAATATTCTACCAATGAATCACCGATCTATGGTGATACGATATAGTGGGTAGTTCATTACAACCTTTGTTGGCGGATGTTTATACTGTCTTATACTGAAAACTTCTCGTTTGATTTAAATGCTAAAATCTCCTTCTATAGGAGGCATATAGATGATACTATGTTGATATGCGATGATCATGAAGATGTGAGTTGTCTACTGGATGGATAGATTTAACTCCGTACGAAATCAAATAAGTCGTGACCAGTTTTCATTTTTGATATACTTCTGAGTCGGTGAGACGACGCTTCAATAAAGTGGTCAATTTACAGAAACCCTACTTAGGCGGGGCAATAATTAAATTTCCACAGCCTCTGTCCACTATACATTATAAGAAAGGCTTGATGAAGCGTTTATTCAAGGCAATTCAGAGTATTTGCACAGTTGATGTGTACACAGGATGAAATTAAAATACTGATGGATAACTCTTGTGCAAAATAAGCAAGTCCAGTCAGCCACTACTACTGTCCTGACCGACCTCCGGTGGAGACTGTCAACTTATAAATTTGTGTTATCATTTTCCCTAATTGTTTCGATATTCAGTGTATCGTTGTGATGGTGGTATCGAACTGTAATCCACTGATATTATTACTATTATTAGTGATTCGATGTTATGTAAACAACATTAATGGTCTTGGTAATACGAATTCATTCACTACTATGGATGCATCCTGATGAAGGGGTTATCGAGAAGAATATTTTTTGTTCAGTAACCATTTTTTTGAAAAAAATTATAATGGGAATTTTCAAATTAGTTAAAAATGTAACTTCAAAAAATATTAGTACTAATCAACAGACAGTCGCATTCAATTACAATTCACTTGCTTGATCTTAACCTGACTGACTGACTACTGACTGGTTTGAACATACAACCTTGCACATCTGTGCAAAGAGTGAATGAACTATTTCTGGCCGTATCATGTATAGTCTCCAGCCGTCATCGGTTCTTATCATCTCGAGAACTCCGACAGGCAGTCTACACCTCCCTATATGTCTGGCTCAAACTAACTGTGAAAGAATTATGGACGGACGAAGCTATGTTTAAGTTTGACCACCTCTAGTTCTTTTTCAACCTGACTCATCCTATGTCAGCTAACATTACCCGTTATCGAGGAAGACGATGGCTAGGGATGCGTGTGTGACACATATCCTAACGATCTCAATCGATGCAGTTGCTTCACCACCTCATCTATTGACTTACCCTCCTTATCCAACACTTCACCTAACACCTCAGTATTACGCACCCTATTATAGCATTTAACATGGGAGATAGAACGTAGACACCTATAATCAAAGACAGCTAGCCAGCCTTTTCATGTCTTCCACTTTCAAAGGTCATACATATCTCACAGTCATGGAGGAGGACAGAGTGAACCGCAGTACCAGTACACATGTCCTTTGAACAATAGTCGGATATCACATCTACTAAGCCAGAGATGGTGTCAGTTGGTAAATGTCACAGCAGATGGGACATTGTAAGTACAAGATCTGATCATTATGCTCTAAAAATAAAAGCTCACAGAGTTTTCATCACAATTCAGTTTCTTCCTTTAGGTAAGGAAAATGATCAATCTAACGTCTAATCTTGTCATCTGCATATTTTACAATACTGATAGAATTTCGTTTTTATAAAGATCCTTGAACGGAATCCGAATAGGAG